CACCTCAAACATGTGGGTGCCAACAATCAGAGGTTTATCTGTGCTAGCAGATGGGTTGGGGGAGGCTTCTGGTGAAGTCAAAGGGACAGTTGAGCCCCTAAGAGTAGCTTGAAGTAAGGTTGAAAGGGCTCTGGCTTGAAAGGAGAAGGCAGCAATTTTCTTTTTACCAATGACGCTTTTCCCCTTCTCTTCTTTGGCACTTTCGACAAACACAAGGTCAGGCACTGGGTCCTGTCTTCTTCAGGTTATAATAAGGGCCACCTCCTCTGTGTCAGTTCCCTGCAATTTGAAGAGAAAAAAGAAAGTGAGAAACCTTCTGTAAAGTGCTTCTATTCACTGACACTGGGCCAGGTGTCAAATATTGCAGCCCCACGTACATTTTGTTTCCTTTACTGTGTTAATTTTTGAGGCCTATGTTCCCACAGAAATAATTTGAATCAATTTTCTTTTGTACATCTTCAGCAAGAGAGGAAATGCATCTGCCAAAATGAGTTTTCAGGGTCCAGCATGCAGTGGTGCTGAACCTCAAGCCAGCCTCTGGCGATGACAGCCACTGCTCGTCATTCACTGTCAGTCTATCAAGACTTCCTAGTGTCTTATTGGGATCACACAGGATGCTCATTGTCGAACACACATAAAGATGAATTCAGAACATGTAGAGGAGTATGCACAAACGTAGACATGCAACACGCATAAAGTCAATTACATGACTTTATGAAAGTAATCCATGCCTTACCTTATTTTTGTCGAATTTCGGTAATTCCCTGCAAGGTGTTTTTTAATACATCCTCATCTAAATAATGGCAGCATCTGTGGCATACCTTCTGCACAGAAGATGTTTGATCATATCACAGCTGTTCTTCCCAACTTTGATCTCGCTATCTGTCCATTTCAAGATGCATCTTGAAATGTTAATAGCAGTTTGGAACTGTAATGGAATGTCACCACCAAATTTACTTTCAGGCATTGAAACACGTGTGTTAGAGGTTCATGCACCAGGAATCAAACCTAATACAGCCATGTCAAATACAAAATCACACCCTCATTACAAGATTCATGGAATCTTTTCAACACACAGTAGCCAGAGCATCGACAAAAAAACATGAAGTAACTAGACATTTTTAATCAATGCTAAAAAGTAAGTGACTCAACCATGTTGGTGTCTAAATTGTAGCTAAAATCTTGGTAGGGGTCAAAATGACCCCTACTGGGAATAATGTCAATATTGTGGACCCCAATGCAATTGATGAGGTAAAAAGATACAAGAAATTCAAGCAAAATGAATTCAGTACATTTATTTATTTTTTTCAAATGAGTCATTGCACATTTACTTAAGTGCAGAGTTATACTCAATGTAAAGCTTTAGAAAATACAATCTCAGTCATCTCTGATGTGATTGTGGTTGCTTTATGTGAAACCTTTCAAAAATAAAATACATTGGATGAGAAGAAACCCACTATTAGAGGTGTCTTTTGATAGATCTGTAATTTAAACAGCAAAAAACAGGGCAGCATAACTGGTCATGTTAAAGATTTAGATCATTCATTCATTTATATTTAGGTAGTGTAACTTTTCAAAATAAACGTACATTTCCCTTTGTCTGTGTAAACAAAGTGGTGTTTTTTTTTAACCCGTCTCTTTAAACATTGTAGTCTTTGATGTACTGCACTATCATTAAGAGCATCAATTTCCACCAATCTGTTAGCACCTGAATTATCCTAAACCCAGATTTTGAGCTGCAACTTTCTCTGTGCATCAAACAATCATGTTTCCAGTTCTTCCTTTCGGAAATAGTTTGAAAGGTTTGCAATTACTTTAAAAATAAAAAAATAGGTTGCTGTACACAATACCAAAAACAATGTGCTTTTTTCTTATATAGTGTTTAGTGCCGAGTTGAATATTTCCTTATTTCAAGCAACATCCTTTTTTCTGAGGCAGGCGGTCATCAAGGAATAATTCATGGAGCTCTGTGCCCATGGAACTTTCTGTGTCTGCTGTTCTTTTCCTTGGCAGTATTAATACAGGCGTTGTGCTTGTTGCTCTGCAGGTGATTCCATATCTTCATAAGTTCTTTGGGGTGGAACTGATGGGACGTTATCAGGTGGCTGTACTTACAACTGGAATAAGAGACGCGCCAATGGTTGAAGAGGAACTCATTGGGAGGGGGTGTTGGGTCAATGCGTAACTTTGCCAGGCAGATTCCTACATAAACGTCCTCCAGGTGCAGTCTGCGTATGCTAAGTGAGGCCTGATAGATCAATTCGGCCAGGTCCCCTGAGAACACATACCCTGTGCCTGAGCAAAATATGGGGTAGCGCTCGCTTGGATAAACCTCTGGCGGCATGTACCACTTGCTTTCCTTGTTTCTGTTTGGTGCGAAGCCCCTCATTAAATATCCTGTAAAATATCTCCTTTTGGGGGGTAGTTCAGGTTTTAGCAGCTTTTGAACAAGATACTCAGTATTGACAAACATGTCGCTGTCTGTCTTCATCACATAGGAGACTTTTGGGCAATAGGTTGCCACCCAGTTCATCCCCATCAAGGTTTTGGTGGTTAGGTTGTAGTAGGTGTCCTGATAGTCCTGTTGGATGATATCATGGTAAACACGGCTCTCTTCTTCAATGCTACTTTGAAGAAAGGCATCTAAACTCTTTCCTGTGCCAAGAAGAAAAAGCCGAACAAACCCAACCCCCCCTGCTACAGTCTCATTTCCCCATGTCTGCCTGATGGC